TCTGGAGAATGTGAATATCTTGTTGTAATGGGCATTGATTCACTTGAATTATATTTTATATAGTGTATCACATCACTATATGTAACCCTTTTAATAGATTTAGATGTACCTGATGTTGAAGGTCGAGTAGCATTATTATAAATCACCGGTATAGAATCATTCGTCTTTTCTTTATTGTTTTTTTCATGTCGTGTTGCAAAATATGAATGCTTGCTTTGAGGTTGTTTATGCCTATTGCATAACTCATTAATTAAGTCAGCATACGAAGAACTTGTTGCGTTTTTTAATATTCCCTTTAAAAAAGAAAAACAAAAATACAATTTATCTTATTTAATTTAACATACTTTAGGTTTAAATTCTCCATTTAATGTTAATTTTAAATTAATTTCATTTTCTAATACAGGTTGATTAACAATTGATGAAGTTGAGCTCATCATTGACATAGTTTTTGTATTATTTTCGTTTTTCTTCGTTTCTTAATTTTGAGTTGTGTTTTGTATTAAAAAATTTCTTAATAACAGGTGGAGAACGTCGACGACAGTTATTGTCAATTGGTTTTACAGTTGAGTTTCCTTATTCGAATAATCCTTTCTGTGCAGTATAACTTAACGATACTAATGTATGAAATCGTCTGAAATGATTATGATCTTTACACGTCATTTATATTACTAAGACCTTCGATAAACATACAAAATGTCAAATTTGAATACGAAAATAATATATGACATAGACAAAAGATATTTTTTTCGCCAATCGTTATCAACGAAAACTAAAAAAGTGCATTACCCTATCAATTGCTTTTGAAAGAAAAAAGAACAGATAGAATAGATTTTTTTCCTGTGCGATACAAATATAAGGAGAAAATTATGTAAATAAGTGAAGCAAAAATATGATCAATAACTATCTCGTCTAGGTCATGCCTGATTGATGTTACTCTTATCATGTAAAATATATGAGAGTAATTATTCGGTTATTAAACGATAAAAAAAAAGCAATATACAGAAAGAATAATTAACAAAATATATCATAACTAAGACGATAACCTTTTTTTTTTATGACGGATACATAGCTGAAAAATAAAATAAATCTCACTCAACGGATATTGAAAGGTTTGGGTATATTGAGAACATAATTTTTGCTCGAAGTTATATATGAAATATTCTTAAAAATCATAAATTGTAATATTCCTGTCTTTTTCGTAAACGATTTCAAGTGAATGAAGATTAATTGTTGTTGATTTTTCCTTTTATGAGAATATCTGTCAGATGATAAAACTTGACTTTATTAATCACAAACGAATGATTCAAATAACGAGTTTTGTATTTTTAGCGTATCAAATAACTTCCTGGAATACTGCACACCAAATTTCAGATAAGGAATCATTTTTGTTTGCAAGAAGCAATACGTTCTATTGATGATTATTATTGTCTGATGATGGACAAGTTATTGCATACTTATAGCCCGGTATCAAGACTGCGTTGACGAAAAAAGAAATATACACTATTGTGTTTTTCGTGTCAATAACAGAAAAAAAATCATACGATGACAATAAAAATAGTGTGACCCTGAGTAGTGGAGATAAAAGCTATAACACTAGTTATTACGCATTGGATTCGATTCTTTTTTTTGTTTTGTTTGGGTTTTTTCTTATTGCGCGTCAGTAACTTACGAGCACGTTACATAGAACAAGAAAATTTGAGATGTGCTGTATTTTATGACGTAGTTATTATGCACAGTAAAGTTTACAGTACAAGAAATATACTAATAATAACAAGTTGTACTCTGATCCCATACACTATAGGCTCGTATCGAAATGATCATCAAAGAAATTTACAATCGATCATTAAGATTGGTCATAAATGTATAAACTTCATACGAAAGATCTTGTAATAATAATAATAAGACGAAAAATAATGAGTTCACTATTACTGCTAATCAACATACACATTGATATGAAATTGAATATAGTAAAGAATGATCTTGAGATTTCATTCTTTATTGCGATGCAAAATAAATTTGATGCTATAAAAAGCATCTAGATGTTGAAGATAAACAAATAAAAATGAAAATTCACTGACGAGGTAAACTGAAGAATTGATAGATCATTTTTAAGTGAAGACTACGTGCATTTTTTAGACTCAAATGAGCCATGAGTATCCTGAAAAGAGTTTGTTTTCCTTAGTTAATGGCTGCAGAGATACTTCAATGTTATGATATCCTTTTAAATGAATATTGTGGTCCTATTTCCATCAGGAATACCGAAAAAAATCATTTTCAAATTTCAACAGGTAACTGTGCATCGAGACAGACTTTAATGAGAACTTTTGTTTTGAATAATTTAGATCTTGTTGCTGTTCCTATCTTAAAATACAACTATGGTAATAGCGTGTCTTTTACATCGTTTATATATACCGGCAGATTTGATATTATTATTTCAAGATTGAAGCAAATTAAAAGGCTTGAACTTCTCACAATAAACTACTCTCGTTAAGGTCTGTGCCCTCTAGTGTTCCTAAGGAGGACCAATACATTCATTTAAAAAGTACCGTAAAAGTATTGTATTTCTGCAGCAATAAGCTAAGGATACGAACTCTTTTCAGAGTATTCATAGCTCATTTGGGTCTATATAATGCATGTCGTCTCGACTCAAAACCGATTTATCTGTTAGAGGACTTATCTCGTTAGTTCAGTCGGAAAAATACACTAGAAAATAAAAAAAAGCAACTGTTTTTCTTTTCTAGTGCATTTTTTTATGCTTTGAATTTTATTTATTATACTGAGATTGTTGATAACGTAATTGCTGGAATAATGAATCAGTACAGAAAAAATAAGAAAAAATGTCATAATTAGGTGCATCTGCTTATGATGAGTGCTTTCATTGCAAAAATATATAGGATGGCCAAAAAGTAAGGAAATATACGGCGGGGGATAAGATGGTGTTGTAGACGATCACTCCCGTTCGAAACAGAATTATTTGGTTTTTCTCAGCATAAAAGGCCAAAAAATGAGTTGGTACTACCTTTAATGAGTTTCAGTGCACATTTTCTGATCATGATCGCCCCATATCCCCACAGAAGCGCTTCGTATCTCCTCGAAAGTGCCCTCATCTCCATCGAATCGCTCCATATCGAAAAATCTCAGATCCACCATTGAGAACACAGATTTTTTTAATTTCTTTATTGTACATCGTCAGTTAGACCTCATATTAGCAACACATACACTAGGTGATACTAAGTCAAAAGCATAACATTAAATCAGTCTTTGAGTGAAATAATTTCTGCAAAATTATGCAATTACATCTCACTAATCATCTGTGACTGTAACAGAAATTTGTTCTTCTTCAAGCTTCATTCGATCTCCATTTTGCTCTGCTTACCTCGACTTGTGAAATGACTCAGATTTAGTTACGTTTTGTACTGATTTAGGACAAAATCAATTAAATCGAATTCATTTCAAAGATCGAAATAAACGGACAAAACTATGAAAATCGAATAGAGCTCGACAAGCACCGAATTTCACGTTTAGTCACATACCAGAAGTAAGATATATTTGCATGCTGTTTCAGAAATTATTTCACCCAAATACTAATATAATACTATATTTGTAGTCTAGTTTCATCTAGTACATGGGACGCTGATAAGATGCCTAACTTATGATGTCCCGAGAAGAAATTGGAAAAATTGTGCTCCTTTGATTTTTGACCACCGTATGTACATCTTATAACCCTCCGTCTACTATATATTCGTTTGATTAGATATATTTTTTTTATCAATACAAGGTAGATCACACGTTAGTTCGTTTTCTGAAACGTAGGAATATACTTTGAGCTGAATGTCCATTTGATGATGTTGATCAATTCATTAATTATTTTAAATATTCAGGCACACTTCGATAAGCAACATCAGTATCATCATATGGATGTAAACGTGTAAAAGAGCTTATTTCTCTATGTTGATTACAAGGCATTTGTTGAACATAGATTCTCGCGCTGGATTCTTACGGATTCTTCCATTCCATTTATAGTTTTCGACATAGTTTACAAAAAGAATTTTTAAATTTATTATCCGACCAAGATATTTTATCTGATTATCGATAATAGTCCACACACCTACAGCCACACCAATAACTCATCAATATAGCCGATAGAAATGTTTTTAATTCACATCTAATTTACAGTCAAATTGGTAAAAGTACAGGGACCATATTGGTGAAAGTTTTATTGCCAAAATCTCGAAACTCTCTGAATTTGATCGAGTTTGCATTTTGAACCAACCCGACAGACTCTACTACTTGTTCAGATATACCACGTCCTTGTTCTTAAACGGTAGCTCATTAAATAAATAAATGGATATAGAAAAGACAAAACATGCATTTTATAAATAATAAACAAAAATAAAAATCTTGTGCGAAGTTTTTTATTTTTAAATGCATAGTATTTCAATATAAAAAAAGAAACAAAAAAATAAAGTTCAATATAAGTGACACTCGAACATCTACCCATGTAAAAGAAAAGTGAACTAAAATCACTTTTACGTACTTTTAATTTTAATAAAGTAAAATAAAGTAACTTTCCTTACCATTGTTCACTTTTTACAGTACTTTCTTATACTTTTTTCACTTTACAAAGTATTTAATAGTACTTTTTAGTCGAAAAGCAGGGAAAGTACTTAAAAAGGTTCACTTATAAGTACCTTTTCCTGCTTAAAAAAAACTTTTGAAAGTACTAAAAAATTACTTTTTAGCTACATTTTTTTTACATGGATAACAACGTTCATATTATTGCTCGAGAAAATAACTGGCAGACCATGTAGCATAATTTTCAACTATTTCAACACGATATTCATATTTTCTATTTGAAATGGTCAAAACGAAATGAGCGCGAGAAAAAGTATAGAAAATCACGTAATCACAAACATGCAGAAATGTACACACAACAAAAAGAAAGAGAAAACATAGGTGACGACTAGTACCGTCATAGGGAGTCAAAGATATCTGTACGTTTAGATACTTTCTAAAGATATTTTCCTTTTATATTATTTAACACTTGGTGCAATTTTTAGGTTGAATTTGTTTTGAAGAGCATTTTTAAATAGAAAATATGAATATNTCCAAAGCCCGTCTGTCACGGTCTGTGATGGGTCCAAAGCCTGTCTGTCATGGTCTGTGACGGTTAATTAGTTAATTAAACATTAATTAATTAATTTTTAATTAATTAATTAATTAAGATGTCTGTCACGGTCTGTGATGGTCACGTGAGCGTCTGTCACGGTCTGTGGGGGGGGGGTCCAAATTTCTACCCCTAAACACTTCAACACTCCTTTCAGATCGTGTTTCACAAAATATTAATTAATATTATTGTTAAAATAAATCAAATATCTCATTATAAATAAATGATTGACATTAAACTATTTATAATTGTTCGAAGTTGTTTATTGAA